ATCACCGAAACTTGGTACCGAAAGACGAGGCATGTTTCGATACTCTGTAGAACCGAAGCATTTCGGTCGGTACCCAGCCCTAATCCCAGCAGTGTTTTTGTCAAACAGGGACCAAGAACCCTGGTGAGTAAGCAAATTACAGTTATAATCAACAAGACTCTAATGACTATTAACTATAACTTCCAGTTCTAGTTATTAAATATATGTACAATCTTCTGGTAAACTTGCACAAAAATGTGGTATGGTAAAGTCTATCAAAGTTTAAATTACCAGTGCACTGTTAAACATAAAATAATAATCATCAAAATATATGATCAGGTTTAGAAAAAAAAAATATAAACATCCTTAGAATAAAAACATAACCTATAGTATTTCTGTCAGGGCTCCAGTCTGTGTGTTTGTTTTTTTTGTGTTTGTCTCCCTTCCTCCAACAGGAGGCGCTTGGTTCTGGTTAGCCTCCTCACACACCTGCTGATCGTAACCTCGTTAACGGAGTGCTCTTAAGCTGCTGATTGCCACTACCTCGACGCCAGAGTGTTTGCCAGGTTTGGGTACTCTAGCCAAGCTGAGTTTTTGCTGCGTAAGACTGAGTTGTTGTCAACCTGAGTTTAAACTTTGTTTTTTTGTCTTTGCCTCTTGGCAGGAAGTCATCCTGCAAACTGGATCTTTCGGACCTTCACTCCCTGGAGGGATAAACTGAGCCTCAAACTGAGTTGGGGATTCATTCTGGAGGTTTGGATCCAGTTTCCCAGAGAGGACGTTGAGTTTACACACTGAGCAAGGGAATCATCTCCACTACGACCTGTACCGAAGGAAATCTGAGTGGCAGTCAGCTTCTTCTTTCACCTACAACCGACCGTGTTCTGGGTAAACCCTGTTCCGCCCTCCACCGAATCAGATTAACACTGGAATACAGCACACAGATTGAAGTCAAAGATTCTACAACTTCTCTGGAAACGTGAGTCAACAACCAGATCCTCTTCTCCAAATCCACGAATGAAATTTCCCACTGAGCCTGAACTAATCGCTGTGTCTTCCCCTCACCTTCCAGTTCCAGCTGAGCAGAGTTCAGAGCAACACTGCACTGTGCATTATCTCTTCAATAAAACCCGTTAAATATTCCCCTGGTCTCCCTGAATTGGTTTCTTTGCATGTGGGTCCGAGCTTTAGATAAAACCGTGACAATTTCTCTGAACTGCAGCTTGCACTGAAGCAGTGGGTCCTGCTGATAGATACTGCTTAACTGAATGCAAATTTATACAGAAAGGCCAACAGTGGAGAGAAAAAAAATAGAAGCAGGGTGAACAGGATAGCGACTTAGACACACAGAGAAGTTGTCTCTGTGGTAAATAAATTAATGAAAAATTATGGAAGATGTTCTAGGGCAGCTTAAGGTTAAAGCAGCATAACTAGAGAGATAAATTGGGATAACTTCAGCAACACCAGCTGTTATCTTCATTTTAAAATCAATCTCGGTATCTTGTTCATGGGCAGACATGAAAGGCGTGGAGGAGCTTGTAGAACCAGTATTACCTTAACTGTTCCAAAGTATTTACACCTAACTCTTTTAATCTTACTACATAAACAGTTTTTTTTGACGTGGTATGGAAATGATTCTAGGTTTTCAAAATTTAAAACCAAACAAGTCTTGTTAAACATCATGTGATGTATCATGGTCTGAACTCTGAGTAGGCCATTAAAGCCTTCCCCTGTTGCTCTGTTTCTATGTGTTTACATATTTAGGCCGGTTGTCTTCCTGGGTGGTGTACTCTGGTTTCCTTAAGTTCTCCTGCAGCTGGTTTCCTTAAGTACTGTCCTGGATTTAGCTCTGTCCCCTGACTAGCCTCTATATTTTGGTTAAAAACCAAAATAGAGAGTAGGGTCCAGGGTGTACCCCGCATCTCGTCTGTAGACAGCTGGAGATAGACACAACAACATAGGCATCAACATCTATATGACAGTACAACTCAAAATACATTACATACATACAATCCTACATTAAATTAATAT